CGCAGGGAGGACGTGAAGCTCGCCAGGCAGCGCTGGAAGGACTTCATGGCCGAGGCCCTCAGTGGGAGCGGCAAGGGCGCCCACGCGATCAGCAATCAGGCCAACCTCGAGACCTGCTCCATCCTCGGCCCTGGCGAGGGCGAGGCCCCCCCCAGCCCCGCTGGTCGGGCAGCAGGCCCTGGGCAAGATCCTTCAGGAGTGGAAGGCGCTCTGGCACAAGGAGGGCTCCGCCAGCGTCCGCCCCGAGAACTGGGACGAGCCCTTGAGTCTGGACGCCATCACGGCGGAGGATGCGCTGGCAGCGGCTAAGACCTTTCCCAGGAAGACGGCGCTGGGATGGGACGCCTTCCACCCCAGGCTCATCCTCAGCTTAGGCAGGGTGTACGCGGCCAGGCTGGCTGAGATCTTGACAGCCTGGGAACGGCGCCCCCAGCCGTCGGAGCTTTTCACCACGATCATCGTCTTCTTGGGGAAGCCCGACGGGGGCCGCCGCCCGATCGGGCTCCTCTGCATGTGGCTGCGCATCTGGAGCCGCATCAGGCGCAAGTACTGCGCGGGCTGGGAGCGGGGCCACAAGCTCCCCGAATGCTGGGGGGGCAGACTCGGACACCTGCTGCGACAGGGCGGCCTACATCCACAACCTCCTGCTCGGCCTGGCGCGCGAGAAGAACTTCGAGGCTGCGTCGGCCTATTTCGACATCAACAAGTTCTACGAGCAGATCAGCCACGGGCTGCTCCTCGAAGCGGCGCGGGGCTGCGATTTCAACACTGGGTTGATCCAGGCGCTGTGCGTGCTGTACTCGGCCCCCCGCAGGGCCAGGGCCGACCTAGCCCTCAGCGAGCAGCTGGTCATCGACGACACCGTCATTGCTGGATGCTCCTGTGCGACGACGATGGCGAGGATCATGCTGTACGACCTCCTGCTGAAGTCGAGGAAGCTGCTGCCGATTGGCAGGGTGGTCAACGTGATTGACGACATCTCGGGCCACGGCATCGGCACGCGCAGGCTGGTCGTCGAGCAGATCGCCAGGTTCGCGAAGGGCGTCGCCACCATGCTGGGCGACAAGCGGCTCCCCATCAACTGGGGAAAGACCAAGGCACTGGCCTCCTCGGTGAGGCTGAAGAGAGAGCTGCAGCAGCACGCCGACTGGGTCCTCGCCGACGAAGCCTTCGTCGCTGGCCACCGCGACCTTGGAGGCGATGCGACGGCGGGCGGCCACCGCAGGGTTGGGACGCAGGTGGCCAGGGAGCTGGCGGCGCTGCGGCAGGGCAACAACCTCACCAGGATCTTCGGCTCGGGGATGAGGCAGGCCAAGATCCAGAGGGCAGGCCCCGCCGCCAAGGCCCTGTGGGGCTCGGCCATCAACGGGGTCCCGCCTGGGCGCATGAGGGCGCTCAGGATATCTGCGGCGAAAGCCGCCTGCAACCTGCCGACGGGCGCGGCGCTGACCATCTGCTTGCAGTGCGCGCCCCAGGGCTGGAGGCAGGATCCGCTGGTGATTGCGGCGGGCCTGGCTGTCCAGGCATTCGTGGCCATGAGCTGGTCTGGCCAGGCCCCCCCTGCCGCCGTGCAGGCCTGCCTCAGGGACAGCAGCCGACTGGCCATGCTGCAGAGGCCGTGGGCCGCGGTGCGCGACCCCGTCTCGGCGCTGGTGCTCACGCTAGGGCGGGTCGGCTGGGGCCTCAGAGCTGGCGGACGCGTCCTGACCGACAGGGGGGGGCAGCGAGTTCGACGTCATGCGGTTCTCGCCCGCCTTCCTCGCCGCCAGGGTCAAGGAGGACGCGCGTCAGGCGGCGTCGCTCGAGGAGTACGTCAGCAGGCCCGAGACCTTCTGGCAGTGGCGGCTGCCGCCGTGGTGGACGCCGATCAACCAGCTCCTCGGCGCTAAGGAGTCGGAAACCTGGACGGCTCACCACAAAGGCTGCTTGAGACGCTTGGCGTCGCTGGCCAGCTGGCCCCAGGCCCGACTGGCGAGGCATGGGCGAGAGACCGGCCCGCTTTGCAGGCTCTGCGGCGCCGCCCCTGGGACGATGCACCACAGGCACCACGTGTGCCCAGCCTGGGCGGCCTGGAGGCGGGACTACTGCCCGTGCCAGGTGGGACAGGCAGCGGAGCAGGCCCACCGCATGGGGCCCCCCTTCGACGAGCTCTTCAGTCAGGGGCTCTTCGCCGACATCAGCCTCCTTGTGGCCAGGCCAGCCTGGGATGACAGCTGGGCGCGGCGATCCTGCGGGTGGGGGGGCGGCATCTTGGTGGTGCCCGACGGGTCCTTCGTCTTCACCGACGGCTCGTGCCTGAACGGGGGCTTCCCGCGCGTCAGGAGCGCTGGCTGGGCCGTCATCGTTTACGGGCCCGAGGGGAGGCTCATCGCCGAGGCGTGGGGCGCAGTGCCCCCCAGCGACCTCCCGTCGCAGACGGCCAAGGCTGGAGAGGACTTCGCCGCCGCCATCGGCCTCGCCGACATCATCGGGAACTACGCGCTGCTCAGCGACTGCTTGAACACGGTGAAGGCTGCTTCCAACCTGGCCAAGGCCTGCGGCCCCAGCTCCCTTCACGCCCACGTGTGGGCCAGGGTGGGCGATGCAGCGGAGGGCGTCAACATGCGCCACGTGCCCGCCCACCGCACCGAGGCCGCGGCGCGGGGCGGGGAGCTCACCCTCTTCGAGCTCGTGGGCAACAGGCGCGCCGACACCAGGGCAAAGGAAGGAGCGGCCTTCCACGCCATAGCGGAGCAGGACGCCCTGATGCTGGAGGGCTGCCTAGCTCGGGCGAAGGAGGTGGCCAGGTGCGCGGCGGCCCTCGAGGTGCACATCACCGAGTCGGGGCTCAGAGACTCCTGGCCGCTCACCTCCCTTGACCTCGTGGACCTGGACCCCTTCGCTCCGACGCCCGCCCTGGAGCAGCTGCTGGAGGCCGAGGAGTCGGCTGCCCGTGGTCCTGGCGGATTGGCGGCCTTGGGGGCGGCAGCAGCGCTGGCGACGGCAGCGGCGGCCGGCCAGGGAGCCCAGGCCCAGGACCAGGTCGACAAGAAGGTCCGCAAGAGGAAGGAGGCAGGCGAGGGGCCCGTCGGGCCCAGTGATCCAGCCGCAGACGCGTCGAGCGCGTCGGCGGCCTTGCTTCGTGCGGTCCAGCGCCGCCGCGCAGAGAAGGCGGAGCGGGCAGCGCCCTCGGCCGCGGGCGCTCTGAGCCCGCCCCCGTCGGCTGTGGCGCAGCCCCCTCCCCCTCCTTCCTCCGTGGCCTCCCCTGCTGCTGCGGCCGCCGCCCCGCCTCCGCGAGCCCCCTCGGGCCCTGCTGGCCAGGTGAGGACCCCAGGGCCCCATTTTGAGACCCCCGACTCTGGCCAAATGTCGGGGGGGGCTCAAATTCAATTTTTTTTCGCGAGCCCGCCCGTCCCAGGATGACCCTGACGAGTCGGGGGTCTGGGAGGTCAACGGCCACCGTCTTCGGGAATCCCGCGTTTCAGGCGGCGATGGCCCTGAGTTTTTGGTTTGTGTGGCGTGCTGGATGTATTGCCTGAAGCCCCAGTACTGCCACAGAGGCCTAGCCAAGGCCTGCAGCGGGGCCCAGCGCGCTGACGACCCCAGGGCCAAAAAGGGCTCCAGGGCGCAGGCGCGAAACGATTTCGCGCAGTCGCTTTTGCTTGGGAAATCTAAGCAGCCGATCGACCAGATGGCTCGGCCCACAGCGGCCACCCGTGCCAGGTGGGCCGAGGCGCTCGGCACGGTCGCGGGCCCTGAGGGCATGGAGGACCTTGTGGCCCCTGTAGGCTCCAGAGCCCCCGCCGTGGAGCCCCCAGAGGTGCGGGATCGGGCACCCGCCCCGCCTGCCCCAGGGAGGCTGTTTCGCCCAGGGCTAGAGGGAGCCCTGGGCTCCTTCGGCTTTGCCAGCGCTGCTGAGGCTCAGGAGCGAGGCAGGGCCGCCAGAGCGGCCAGAATGGCGGACCCCAGGCCTGAAGTCGGCCAAAGCGCGGAGTGACGGTTGCCGCGCTTCGGGGTCTGGTCCTGGTGGGCTGCGGGCCCGCGCAAGCACTGTTTGCGGGGCCGTAAGACGGCGTCTGAATTTGTCTGTGCATGATAAGCCCCAGGGTGATAGGATACAAAAAAACGACCTCACCGTATAAGATCGAGGTCGATTCTGGGGTGGTGCCAGGATGTTCTCTCGTTTGAGCCTGGGCGGCGTTCTTCTTGTGCCACCCTGGGGGAGGGCACCCTCGGATGCTCTGCAGTTTGGCACGCGGAGGGTCTCATGTGCTTGAAGGATGATCCTCTGCCCTAGGTTTAAGTCGGGCGTGTCTCTCTCTCTCTCTCTCTCTCTACAGGAGTAATTTTCAAATATAGTAACAGTAGCCAGGGGACGATGTTTTGACTATTTGTTTGACTATTTGCGGTTATTTGTTTGATATGTTTTGTTTTTTCCTTCAAAATCTGGCTGTAGGAGGGCATGCCCGACCTAACCCTGGGCCAGGCCGTACATCGCGCATTCTGAAAGTTCACGTGGCCGCCCCCGCCAGGGCTGCTGTGTTTTCGTTCAGCTCGTCTGGTGGCCCTTCTTGTCCGCAGCCCGGAGGCGCACAGATCTGGCAGTGAGTTCTGCCCCAGATCGGTCTCGAGCAAGAGGCATCCCCCGTCTGAGTACGCGATCGACGCGAGCCCAGACATCCCCTTCCGACTCGACGTAGGAGTGACCCTTCGCCGGAGTGATCTTTAGTGCGGGCCATTGGGGTCCCCCGATCGCCGAACGAGATGCGATAGTAGCGTCTTGCGCGCTTGTGCTTGGTCCCTCCGTGGCCCCCCAAAAGCTGCGCACCAAAGGTCACTCTTACCCAGGGTCACTCTTGAGTGTAGCCGATATCTTTCTTTCGATCCGCGGCCCCAGGGTTCCCGACCGCTTCCCCGGGCGCAGTTTCCCGTCCCAGATTCATGTGTGTTGGCTCTGGGGTCCGGAAGCGACCCCTGGAGGCCGAAATCGAGGAAAGACGTCCGCATTGAAGCCGTCGGATCGCTGGGTGTCTGGAGGCCCAGGCGCGGGGGTGCCGAGGTTGGCTCAAGGGCAGCCCTGCTGCTGGGGGGGGGGGCCCGCCGATGGGCTCGAGGCTGGAGGACGCCCTGGTGAAGCTCGAGGCCTACGACGCGTGCTCCGTCCGGGTGGGCAGGCTCAGCCACGTGCGAACCCTACCCCCCAGCAGGGCAGACTTCTGAGAGGCCTGCCTGGGCTCAGAAGTTGGAGGATGGCTGCAGCCCAGGCCGCGGAGCACCCACCAGTCGGAAGAAGCAGGCGGAAGGATGAAGGAGGGAGGCGGATAAAGCAGACTGGATTCGGGCCCACTCTCATCATAACAACCAGTCCACAACACACACACACACACACACACATATCGGTTCTTGAAGTAGGCGCGGGCGCTGAAGAAGGAACTCTTTTAGTTGGGGATGGGCTCCGTGTGCCTTGATTGTTGTGCCATTTGTTTTTGGTGTTCCTCAGGGTTTCGATGGGAAATCTAAATTTATTTTACAGTGGAAGCCCATGGCCTATGCCAATGCCAAGAAGCACCCTGCTTGCCTCCAGGGTGCCCTGGATTTCGTGAACGTGACGTTCCCACACCAAACATCAGTGGGCGACCTGGGGTCTCAGGGCTGGGTTCCCTGTGGAGGGTTTCTTATGGTCGGGCCCCTACTGTATGGAACAGACGGGGCCTCGCTCCTTTCTTCTCGGGTTCCTTAGGTCCACGCCCCGACGGTAGACCGAGGCTCCGACGTCGTGTTTTCTTTGTCTGGGGGGGCCGCGACGTGGGCCACCCGAAGGCCCAGACCCCTTCCCCAGGCACTGGCTCTTCCTCCCGGGTCGTTTTCGGGCGCTCCCGGGGCCCCTGAGAGGGCCCTTGGTGGCCAGAACTTCGGGGGCGCCACAGAGGGGGGTGACGACTAGTGTTAAGTCGGGCGTGTCCCTCTGCAGGAGGAATATTCGAGTATTGTTCCCCGTCTGGCTATCGGTCGCTCGATCCAACTGCCTCACACATATCAAGCCGCCATCGTGCCGCGAAGTACTGAGTGGACTGTCCGCAAGATCCGTAGAATCGTCGATGCTGAATCTGGTAACTGCTCTGCCACAACCTCACACACCAACTCGCCGATGTGTTCGGCACCGTCGTGCGTTTTTTGTTCGTTTCTGGGGCTCCCCGCGTGACTTCTCCAGGAACCAATGTCGCGTTTGTAGTTGGAGGGTCTCAATCTCCAACGTGCTCTGAGATGGCCCCATGGGGCTGTCCTTGTGCCTTCTTGGGAACCCTGGGGGCCTGCCCACGAAGCCACCATAACTGAGTCGCACGGACTCATTAAATGATTTTCGCGTACTCGCCTGATCGCCCCAAGACAGCCCTAAGAGAGCCCCAATGCACCAACAGGGAGAGAGAGAGCGCGAACTGCCAATTGGAGTCCTCCACACGAAGAGGGTCCATGAGATAGTCAGCAGGCTCCCAGGGGGCCCTCAAAAGCCATCCGAGAGACCCACAGAGACTCCCAAGATGTCACCGAAAGGCATCGAAAAGGTCTCAAAGGGTATCCAAGACGCCTCGATATGCATCCAAGAAGACTCGTTTGTCCACGACCCACGCAGGGTGGTGGGATGAGCCGCATGCCACTAGATCGCTACCGAACTACGTGCTTGGCATTCAAACAACTTTTCAGTCATGTCCCAGCATGCGCATACCTGAATATACAGGTACATACGCAGACATGCATGTTTGCATACAGTCAGCGTTCTACCAGAAGGGATGCCAAACTATGAACGACTGGGGCTTTTCTTGCCACGGCGAACCTCGGCCTTGATTAGGTTCCCCGACCTAGATCTCAGAAACAGCCCGAAGACCGCAGCCCCTCCTGCGCCCAAGGTGATCCTTATTTCACTGTCTTGACTGTATGTGTGTTTGCAGCGTGCACTCATATGCGCATTTCAAGACGCGCGTGCATCTGATCATTTTGCACAGCTGCGGTCTGGAATTAGGTCGGGCATGTTCTCCTACAGGCGGATTGTGGAAGTGAGCAATAGTCAAACAAACATCAAACATAGCCAAACGAGCGCGAAACGTCATCCCCATACAATTGTCTCGAACCATTCTCGAATATTCCTCCCGTAGGGGAACGTGCTCGACTTGATTCTGGAGCTCGGAACTTTTGATCTGTGTGGATCGTCGCCCTCATCCTCCTCCTGATTCTCCCCGTCGTCATCCTGATCTCCATCGCCCTTGTGTCCCTGACAATCCTTTCCTCTTGCTCCTCCACGCCGTCCCCTACTCATCCTGCTCCTCCAAGCAAACGCCCAAATGAACCAATGTCGGCAGAATGGCCCCAACTCGCACACCCCTCAACCACCTCTGTCACCCCAAAATCCCCCGTGCCTCTGCTCCTTCCTCCATCTTCCACTGCTCCTCTACTCCCTCCGCCTCCCTCCTCCCCCACCTTCTCTCCCCCTCCTCCTCCTCGACCACCCACACTTCCCAAGCTCGCGCCTCTACCCCCCTACCCCCAATCCTCCGCCCCCCCCCCCCCCCTCCCCCCCCCCCCCCACAACACACAACACACAACACACAACACACAACTCACAACACACACACAACACACAACACACAACACACAACACACAACACACAACACACAACACACAACACACAACACACAACACACAACACACAACACACAACACACAACACACAACACACAACACACAACACACAACACACAACACACAACACACAATACACAACACACAACACACAACGCACAACACACAACACACAACACACAACACACAACACACAACACACAACACACAACACACAGCACACAACACACAACACACAACACACACACACAACACACACAACACACACACACGCACGCACGTTTACACATAGCAGCGGAAGGAGGAAGTTCAGAGGAAAAGGAGACTGCAACATGTTTTCTGGTTTCCTGCGATAAAGTTTCACGAACCGCCACCTTCCGGATAAGACGGTTCAGGCATGCAAAAAAATGGCCCCCGCCGGCAGGGTCGCCCCAAGCCGACCATCCAAGATCAACAACCAAACCCACCACCCGCATTCACTCCGATCACTCAGGCAATCGACAGCCGTGTCCCAATATGGGCCGACGGAATGAGCGAAGCGATTAAATATTCGAGTATTGTTGCGTATGTTTTAAATTTTTTGGTCCAAGATCCGCCTGTAGGGGGACATGCCCGACCTAAGACTAGGAGGGGGTGGATATCATGGCGTGGGCCATGATATCTCCCCAGATTTCCCGGCGCCCTTTTATTATTTCAATACGTCCCCAGCCCCCCCCCCCTGGGCCGCGCACAATGCCGCCAGCCATGATTTGCACCCCCCCTTTTTGGACGCCCCCCTCTTGACCCTGGGCCCTGTGCCCCCTTTTTGGACGCAGCCCTGTGCCCCCTTTTTGGACGTGCCCCCTCTTTGCCCGCCGCCAGCCATGATATGCAGCCCCCCTTTTTGGACGCCCCCTTTTCGGACGATCCCTGGGCCCTGTGAGGGCCCCTGGTGGCCAAATTGGCACGAACCGGTCGCGCGCCCAGGGGGATAATGAGGGGGAGGGAGGAAAGCTTCTTAGGAGCGCCCCTGCGTCTTGGGAGGCGCTGTCCTCATCTATAGATGTAAGGCTGGCGCCTTCTAAGAAGCAGCCTCCTTCCAGGATGCCTTCCCCCCTCCCCCTGCCCCCCCCCCCGCGCGCCGCCAAAAGAATCCGTTCGTCGTGTTTTTTCACGACGGTACTCTGGTTTCTCCCCGTCAGATACTCCAGCGTCGATTGGGCCCATAGGAGGAAGGTTCGTAGGTGGCCGCAGAGAGGTGGGACTGCGCACGCTCGTGGACCTGAGCGGCCGCGACGCCAAGCATTCGTCGGAGATAGCCAGCGCGCTGTTGTGGAGCGGCGACGACGAGGAGGACGTGCACAGGGCGGCCTGCGAGGCTCAGCATCGTCTCGCTTACGAGTTATATCGTATGGCAAGAAAACCTGGAGCCATGTCCAAGGGGGGTTGTCTTTTTTGGGGGGGGGTCCGGATTCCTGTTGGGTTGTCCAAGGGGTTGTACAGGGTAGGCCGCCCCCGGGGATGCTCTCTCTTATTCTCCCCCCTCGCGCGCGCCTGGGCTTCTGTAGCTTCTCGGCCCGAACTGTCGCGTGGTTTCCCAGGGCGGGCGTTTTATGCAGGCACTCGCCCAGGTTGCCATCGAGGGGACGGGAGCGCTACTGTTCCAGGGCCTGTGCGCCGCGCTCGACGAGCGGCTCGTGGGCCAACCGCTTCCCCAACCTGGGGACCTCAGAGTGTTCCCTCCGCGGGAACCCTGTGGTCCGCTCAGGCCGACGACTCTGTCGGCGGGGGGCACTGCCCCCCTGCCTCTCGAACCGCGGGTTGCCCCGCCGCCTGCCTCGGGCTGGCGGTGGTTCTGAGCGACGGGGTAGCTCCCTTGCTCCCCTTGCTGCTTTCGACGGTCGTGGCCCTGCTCGGAGCCATTGCCGTCTGCGGCCTCTTCGGAGGCTGTTCAACAGCCTCCGAAGAGGCCCCGATGCAATGCATCGGGGCCTTCGCGGCCCGTTGGAGAGTCCTGACGGGCCTCCCTCGCGCGCGGACCGCGATCGGGGCCCTCGACGGGCGCGGTCGCAGCGCGCAGTGCGCCCTGGCCCATGGCCCAGCGGCGCGGGCTGAGGAGCGCCAGCTCCTCCCCGAGGCTAGCGCTCGGGTCGCCAGCCATGGCGGCCGCTGCTGCGGCGGCAGAGGGGGCTCGCCATCCCCGATGGGCCAGTTTGGCCCGACCTCTACCCCGTCGCTCCTCCGCCAGCCATTCGCTACGATCGCTGGCGGTTGGGCGAGGGCGTGGAGAGCTATGCCGCAGTCCCCCAGGCCGCTCGGCCAGGGGGTGTATTCTGCTGGCGTTGCCGGGGTCCCTTCGCGCCCCCGACAATCTCACCTTGGCGGAGGTGGAAGGATTATCAGGGCTAGTTGGCCCCTTACAGGTGGTCAGCGTGCCCTTGCTTGGCGCGGCCTCGCGTCCGGCGAGCACGACCACCCCTGTGTTGGCGGTCGACTTGGAGATCTCCGAGATGGATCCGAATGCTCTTGCCCCTCTGGACGAGGGCGACGACGACGGGATGGTCCTGTTCGGATCGGCTCGCGGTCGCGCGTGCTGGCCACACCCCTCGGGCGTCGTCGGCCCTCGCGATGTTTTCGTGACCATCCGCGGCGTCGCGCCCGTCGAAGGGGGCGAGGTCGCGCCCGGCGCCGAAAGGGCCACCGCGTGCCAGCCCGCGGGCGAATTCGAGGGGGGTGGCCTGGAGGGCGACGCCGACGCCGAGGACCGCCCTCCTCTTCCTTGGAGTCCAAGAGGCGCCCCCCGTGCTAGCGCGGGGCCGCCTCGGCGCGCAGCCGGAGCCTTTGTCTGGCGCGGCCCGTGCTCGAGCGGGGGGGGGGCCATCGCCGCGGCCTTGGATGACGGAGCGCCGATGGCCCGCGCGGGGGTCGAGTTGGAGATCCAGCGGCAGCTGGCTGCGAACGCGGCCCAGCCTATGGCTCCTCCCGGGGGGCCGCGCGAATCTGCAGGGGGGTCCGCCTCCAGTCGCCGCAGATGTTCGCCGACGAGGCGACGCGCGCGGGCACCCCCCAGGAGGATCTCCAGGCGATGCTGGCCCAGTCGCCCCCCCCCCAGCGCGTCCAGAACCGCGTCGCCGCGCCAGCCTTGGCGCTGGTGACATCCAGGGGGAAGGGCGGGCTGGGGGGCATCCGCCCGCCGCTTCCGCCAGCCTTGGCCCCGCCGCCGCTCCCCGCCCTTGCCGGGCCCGAAGGGGGCGGCGGCTTCGGCGAGGGGGGCGCCGTGGGGGGCGAGACCCGCGCGCGCGGCCATCCCGAGTCCAGAGCTGGCGCTGCTTTGCCTACGGGAGTCTCTCCAGCGAGCGGGGCCGCAGAGGGCGGCTACGCACCCTCTGCTGGGAACGCTCAGCGATGCTCTACACTCGGCCGCCCGACGGGCGGCGTCGCACGTCGCAGGAATGGCCCAGGACCCATTCCGAGGGCAAGTTTCGTTCGTGCTCTCGGGGCGGAGCTTTCCGCGCTTACCCCCGTGGCTATGTTCCAGTACTTCCGCGGGCGCAGCCCGATGGGGGGCCGCGCGTCGACGCGCGAGATCTCTGCGTCTTTTGCGCGGCTCAGCGCGGAACTGTGGCACGCGGCGGAGGGCGGGGGTGCGGGCAGCGCGGAGATGCCAGTGCATGTTCGTCGGTCAACTGGCGGGGGGGGCGCGGCTATCTGGAGACCGCCTGGCCCTCGCGGGGCTGCGAGCGCCGCCCGTTCAGGTGGCCCGCCTCAACTCGGAGAGGGAGGCCCAGCTGCCTTTCTCATTGGTCCTAAACGCGCCCTTGCCCAGGGTCAGCCAGGGTGAATGGGGCCGCCTGCGGGATTGGGCGCTCGCCGCGGTTCCTTTTCAGCTTGCCGCGCGCGCGCTGGTTCGGCGTCCAGGCGTCAGGGTGCATCGGCGCGTTTAATGGCTGGTTGTTCGGCCGCAGCAACACGCGCTGATTTTTGTCAGGGGCGTCTGGGGGCCCGGCCGGGGGCGCGCGGCCTGCCCGCAGGAGCGACGTTGCAATCTCGCGCTCCCGGGGGGGGCCGCAACGGCCGCGTTGGGGAGGGCTGCATGGGGCAAAACGCACGCCCTCCCGGGGGCGCCGTCGACGCGGCGTCGACGCGGTTCCCCCCCAGCACATTTCTGGACCCAGTTGGGGTCATTCCAGGTGGGTTTTCCAAGGGGGGGCCCTCTGGTGACCGCGCCCAGCCCTCGGGGCCGCTTTGCCTCTGCATCACGCAAGACGATTTCCTAATTGTCTCGCGCTGGCATGAGCGCTAGATTTGTTCGCATTCGCTCCCGAACGCGTCGGCCCCCCAACGTTTGAATCTGCGCCACTTTAGGTGCACCTTCGAACGGGCTGGTCTAATTCGACATGGATCACCGCAGAGTCGGCCATTCCGCCCATTCGAACGCACGCGCTCTCGGAGCCCCGGGGCACCTGGAGAAGGCAGCGTCATGCAATGTTCAATCGGCCGTCGCTTCTACACTTGTGCAGCCGCTTTCGGCTGCGACGCGCGCGCCCCCCCCCCCCCCGCCCCTTGCCGCCCTGCCTTGGTGGGGGTAGGGGTGTCTGTCGCGATCAAGACTTTCTCCTCGGTGGACCCCCTTTGGCCCGCGGCGCAGGGCGACTACGCAAAGGTGATGGCCTTCTTCAGATCCCTCCTGGAGGCCGAGTGGGCGGCGGGGCAGCAAGAGCACCGCCGGCGCCCGCGCGGCCGGGGACCTCGTCCCGCGCAAAGCCAAAGAGGGGCAACCCCCCTTCAAAAACCACCCCTCAGAAGTCCAGCGGCGCCTGGGGGGGGTCGCGCGTTTTGCGCACGGTTGCCGAGGGCGGGAGTCGCGACGAGTTGGCCAACTCGACGACGTCGCGGCTGCCAAGCGCGCCCGGGCAGAGCGGGGCCGCGACCGTAGGGGTGTGCTGCTCCAGCGACGCACTGCGGCCCTGCAGGGAGATGCGCGTTCCGCAGTCGTGGCTCTCGCCTCGCCTCGCCCCCCCTCGGGCTCCGCCGGCGCGCTCAGGCCCTCCTTGC